TTCCTTTCCACCCCCTGAATGTACTGAATACAATTCCCAAGATTTTTAGGACCATTTTTAACCCTGTGCTGTCCGAGCCATCACTTCCACACCAACACCTCCAGGAGCCCTTTGGCTGAGCACAGCACTTTGGGGACACATCCCCCCCGAAACAGAAAGAACTGGGGAAAAGCTGCCAAAAAAAAAAAAAAAAAAGAGAGAGAAATTCCATGATGTGCTCACCACAGCGAGGCTCCTTGGGAGAGCCCTTCATGAAGAGCATGCAGGGGGCAGAGTTGATGAGCTTCTTGAGGCGGGCATGCAGCTGTTCCTGGGCACAGCTGGCAGGGCTGGGCACGGGGCCGGCTCCAGCTGCGTGCCGCTGCACCTTCTGTGTCAGCTCGGGGGCGTGAGCTCCATCCAGCCTGTCCACCTTCTGGGAGTTCTGCAGGGACACAACACAGCCCCCAGTGCACGGGGGGTGAAAATACAGCCCTGAGTGCACGGGGGGTAAATTAAATAACACAGCCCCCAGTGCACGGGGGGTGAAAACACAGCTCTGAGTGCACAGGGGGTGAAAATACAGCTCTGAGTGCACAGGGGGTAAATTAAATAACACAGCCCCCAGTGCACAGCGGGTGAAAATACAGCCCCCAGTGCACGGGGGGTGAAAATACAGCCTTCAATCCAGTACAGATCAAAACCACAACAGACCAACAAACACAGCCCTCAGTGCAGCATGGACCAAAAAATACAGCCCTGAGTGCAGCAAGGGGCAAAAATACAGACCTGAGTGCCCAGGGGGTAAAAATACAGCCCCAGTGCACAGGGGGTAAATTACACAGCACTCAACCCAGCATGGACCAAAAAACACCATGGACAAAAAAAATACAGCCTTCAGTGCAGCATGTAGTAAATAACACAATGGACCTAAAAACACAGCCTTCAATCCAGCATGAACCAAAAAAAAACAAAACCAACCCTCAATCCAGCATGGACCAAAAACCACAGCAAACCCAGCCAGCTAAGCCCAGCTTTGCAAGGAGGGGCTGCATCCTCGTGCCTTTCTGGTGGTGTTAATGAAGCCTCAGGGATTTCAGCTTTTCTCTTTTTCTCCTGTACTGCATTAGTGCATAACTCTGAACTCCATATGAAGAGTGAAATGTATTTAACCTAATCCTCACATTTTGGTCAGACAAAATCGTTCCTCTAAGCCTGAAACTCAAGGAAACTCTACAGCCTCAGGCCCTGAAAAGTACAAATAAAAGTGAATTATGGGGGAGTGAACTGGGGGTAAATGACTTCATTACCTGGAGCTGTAATTGGAGCATTAACCTTGATATGTAAATGGATCAAAGTTTTAATTGTCTGAAAAATTCCTGATTTGTCCACCTTGGGTGCAGCCTCTGAGGCTTCTGACTGCCCAAGGTGGATCTACTGAAGGCCTTAAATAAATCCCCAATTTATTCTCTTAACCTTGTCCAGCCTCTCTTCTAGGGAGCCACTCCAAGGCATCAGGAATAGCAACAAGTTTGCCTCTAGAATGACTTATTAAAGAAAATATTGTCAGTTTTATCATCACAGGCAAACAGCACCCAAACAGAATTGTTATTCCTATTATTACCATATTTACTTGTTTTTTTTTCCCAGCTACAACACAAAGAACCGTTGCTGTAAGTTTTTTGACCCAAGTACAACAAGTAAAATAAAAACTATATATGAATCCCAAAGCACTTAAGGAAGCCCTGAAATATTCCATATAAAGTGCAAAAACCATTTCTATCTCCACTTTTAGGTTCCAGTGGATAGACTTCAATCAGTTACAGAGATGTTTCACTGAGAAAGCTCCTAAGGTTCAGCTAGAGTAATACAAAAGTCTAAGTATTAAGAGTCCACATGGATTCTATTTTCTTTTAAATCCATTTTCT